CCACAACAAAAACAAACCGACGCCATTTGGATTTTCTCTTGTATCCGTCACGTCTTCGTCATGCTAGCTAAATCACGTATACTCACGCCGTCTTGCCGTCCTAGAACCCAGTCCATACCGCGCGCCGTCACGTCGTCTTCGGCGTCGCCGTCCCGATGCTAAATCAGTCTATTAACATCAATGGTACAGTGTACTCAACCACTGACTTTTGATGACAGAAAAATTTCCCAGGTTGAAAGACATAGAATTGTCCTCCAATGATGTAAGGTAACGCAGAAATTGCGGCAACGATGTACGCCAAGAAAATAAGAAGTCGTGTTCTATTTTTAGTGAAAACTTTACGGTATAAGCTTTGATTGACGATGCGGCAGTACCTGTTAAAAGCCATGATCATTAGATTTTGAAGCGAGGCTATTGCGACCAATATAACTACGTATCCCTGAACTTGGCAGCCAGCGAAGTTTGAAGGCCAACTTCCCGTAGCAAGTACGACAATAGACCATGGTGTACCTAACAGTGCCATAGAAATATCCGTGAAGGCTAAAGAGATAACGAAATAGTTTGGGATTGTACGCAGGGCTCGGTTCTTCCTCGTCAGCACGGTGTTTCTAGTGAGCTGGCAATCCCAGATGAAACGACTGAAGAAGAGTGCCATACAAGCCTTTCACAACTTCAAGTCGCGTAAGAAATGAGCCAGCTCATGACAAGAAACCGTGGACAGCTGTTTCGGCCCGTATTGGGCCTCGTCAGTACGGTGTATCTGGCGAGCTTAAAATAACTGAGGAGAAGGTGCTGCCTTCGTAATAGCAACTACAAATGGCTAGACCTTCACGTGGCTTGAATAACCACGTAAAATGGCGGTCCTGTCTCTCCACACTTCATCATTATAAACCAATGGCCTTCATCTCAAGTGTCGGTTTCGTTTAGTTTTGTCTGTTGATATAGTTTATTGATTGTATCCCTCAAGCTCTCTCCTTTGCACTGGGTGGACTTGAGAGAGGTAAAGCTTCATCTTTTATTTTTTTCTTATTTTATATACCTTATTTCGCAGCCAATCTTACTGTGATATTGAAAAAAATGAGTGGGAGTGTTTCAGTCGGGGTTTCCAACCACGAAAAAGAAAACATCTGCTGTAGGCGTCGTTATTTTATCGGTTGTCAAGTGCATTGTTAACAGTTAGTGTCCTGAATAAATCATTGAACTTACAATGAGAAGAGTTACGTGGCGACTTTCAGGGTTATCAAGATGGCTCCATCATACCAAGAAACAATTTTCGTTCAAACTGATCCGTCTTTCAATGTTGTACTTCAATCACTCAATGAACTTAAGAAGCAAAGACGACTCCAAAAAAAGTACTTCCAACATGCGTGGATTGATAGAATCGAAAGTAACAATAAGTCAGACCGAAATGTGTTTGGAGAACGTCACCTAGATTTCGCTCGTACGGCATCGTCGGTTATTCGTATGTGTATGTTAAAGGCTACCGGCATTGAAGATAATCTTTGGCCTAAGATCGGAAAACGTTCTCACAAAAGAAACAAAAAAAATTGTAGTTTCCAAAACTGTGAAGTTTACCCTGAAGATGAATGTTTTAGGCTGGCAAAAGACCTACGTAAAGCAAAAAGATACTGGAGCAAGTACGATCAGCTTTACCCTCATTTCTTGATACAAGATGAACTAGGCGAGGAGTATGGAAGACAAGCAACAATAAACAGAATGATGCTTATCTTCAGAAATAACTTCAAGGAAGTGGTAGAGATCATAACAAACTTCACTGTCACATGCGAGAGAAGAAGAATTTACGAGTCGCGTGTGCATGTCGTTTGCATTGTGCGAGACATAATTTGGAAAGATGACAAAAGATTCACAGGAATCGTGAAAACATTGATGAGCCCAAACTTCAAGGTAAATGATGATAGAATTAATGCATACGTTGAACAAGCGATGCACGTCGAGACATCGTTGTATTTCCTTTTTGAAGAAGAAGAAGAAGAAGAACAACAACAACAACAGTGAAGAAGATGAAGAAGAAGGAGCAAGAGGAGGAGGAGAGGGATGAAAAGGAAGAGGAAAAGGAGTAGAAGAAGAACCTGCCACCGCAGAAAATGATAAAGACGAAAAAAAGAAAAACACCATCACACTTATTAACATATTGAAAGAATAGAGCTCGATATCTTCAAGATGCATGCATCACTCAAATCACATAAACCATTTTACCATTCAACTATTTACTTCTTGTAGAATCAACACTGAAAATATTGATTTAGGGTTAAAGGCACTTTTTACAATAACAAGGAATATTATCATAGTNTTCTTTCTTATTTTATATACCTTATTTCGCAGCCAATCTTACTGTAATATTGAAAAAAACCAGTGCGAGTGTTTCAGTCGGGGTTTCCAACCACGAAAAAGAAAACATCTGCTGTAGGCGTCGTTATTTTATCGGTTGTCAAGTGTATTGTCAGCATTGTCAACAGTGAGTGTCCTGAATAAATTATTGAACTTACAATGAGATGAGTTGCGTGGCGACTTTCAGGGTTATCAAGATGGATGCATCATATCCAAAAGAAACAATTTTCGTTCAAACTGATCTGTCTTTCAATGTTGTACTTCAATCACTCAATGAACTTGAGAAGAAAGGTCGACTCCGTGAAACGTACGGGCAATCTGCGTCGATTAATCCCATCGCAAGTAGCAAGAGTTTGTTTGGAGATCGTCACCAAGATTTCGCTCGAACGGCATCGTCGGTTATTCGTATGTGTATGTTAAAGGCTACCGGCATTGAAGATAATCTTTGGCCTTGGCTCGGAAACAAATCTCACGAAAAAAACAAAAAAAGGTGTCATTTCGATTATTTATTTTCCCCTAATGGTGAGCATTTTAGCCTGGCAAATGACCGAACTACAGCAGAAAGATACTGGAGCAGGTACGATCAGCTTTACCCTCATTTCTTGATACAAGTTGAACTAGGTGAGGAGTATGGAAGCGAAGCAACAATAAATAGAATGATGCTTATCTTCAGAAATAACTTCAAGGAAGTGGTAGAGATCACAACAAAATTCACTGTCACATGCGAGAGAAGAAGAAATTACAAGTCGAGTGTACATGTCCTTTGCATTGTGCGAGACATTAATCAGGGAGTGGACAAAAGATTCACAGAAATCGTGAAAACATTGATGAATCCAAACTTCAAGGTAAATGATGATAGAATTAATGCATACGTTGAACAAGCGATGAACGTCGAGGGATCGTTGTCTGTCCTTTTTGAAGGCCTTGAAGTTGCCGAAGAAGAAGAAGAAGAACAACAACAACAACAACAACAACAACAGCGAAGAAGATGAAGAAGAAGGAGCAAGAGGAGGAGGAGTGGAATGAAAAAGAAGAGGAAAAGGAGTAGAAGAAGAACCTGCTACCGCAGNATACAAATTCATAATCTTAAAATACGAATATTTTCAGCCATTTAGGACTCGATACATTGATGGTAAACGATTGATATACCTTCAGTTATATTAGGAGTTTAAGAGAATTTTTCTTGCTTGAGTGGACTGTTGCTAAGAGCGTTGAAGTCAATGGCAGAAATGAAGCTGGTGGGTTGTCAAATGTCACCTTGCTGTGGTATAAAGGACAAAAACCCTTTTAGATTGATAATAAAGTAAATAGTGCTTTCGCCTGCGACGACAATCCCATAAAAGTCTCATACAAAGAATAATTAATTCCAGGTAATTTAAATCTTGTAGATAAAAAACCTGATCAACTATAGACGAAAACGACAAATATTCATATTTTTTCTCTCGAGGCTATGCCTTGTATACAAATGCATACAGAGTTTTGAGCCAGTTTATTTTTATCGTCCATGCTAACACAAAGCCAATTATTTTATTTATAAGATTACTAAACCAATGTTTTTCCTTTCCTAACTAAATTTTCCTTTTCCGGCGGGATATTGGACAGACAGACAGACAAACAGACAGACTTTTTTATTCGGTATCAAGTATTAGTACATACATAGACATTTTACCCTAATAAATGTATGAAGGCTATAATTGTTGATTTATTGATGGTTTTCACGGCCGCCATGTTTAAGGAACTTAACAAAAGAATTGTTGATGAATTCTTTTGTTATATCCTACAACGTGGCCGCCATGTCTTTTGTAATTACATTCTCTTGGGAATGGTTGGAAACCATCAATAGTAATTTCTATTATGTTATAATGAATTCGCCTGTTTAACCTATTTAGTATAATTACTTTACAAGATAACTGGGATAGTACGCGCGCTACGATTGGTCGAAAATCATGTTTGATGAGGGTACCAAAACACGCTCGCGTCATCCAGTTATTGTTTTAAGTTAGCAACAAGGGGGAAGAACCAAAGCAAAAAACTCAATTTCAAAATCGTTGTCGGGTTCAAAACAGCGTGGACGAAATTATTCTTGAAAAATGACATAATTTATCCTTCTCTCGTATGCACCTCAGATAATAGGCTAGCTGACTCGATTAGTTGTTTGACTACTTCAGGTAACTTAACACCTTTTTTTTCTATTATTATCCGTAAAATATAATAAGCATATCTTTATGTGGTGTAAATAATAAAACTGATCTTGAATTAGCCGAATTTGTTAGAAGCTCAATGCTTTCTGCTATTGCAGCATTTTGTTATCATTTTTCGAGTTGTATCACCAGATGCATCTAGTTACATCGATTCGCGGTGCGCATCGTCATAATAAGAGCGAAGCTTTTTTCCATCCTAAATTAATCCCACAATTC